CAGTTAGCTGTTGCTGGACCAGTCAGCTGTTGCTGGACCAGTCAGCTGTTGCTGGACCAGTCAGCTGTTGCTGGACCAGTCAGCTGTTGCTGGACCAGTCAGCTGTTGCTGGACCAGTCAGCTGTTGCTGGACCAGTCAGCTGCTGCTGCACCACGGTCAGCTGCTGTTGCACCATCAGCTGTCTCTGAACATGACTCGTCCCGAACCTGTCCGTCCGGCCTGAGCGCCTGCCTTGCCGTCATTGTTTACAAGCCAGGGTGGCCGGTTGCATGCATACATTCGATACATTTTGTATTATTCCATTATTTATAGTGCTTGTAACTGCTAAATAAGCCACCATGGGCCCAAAGAAAGCTTCTAGTGCCAACCCTGTGGTAAAAAGGGTGATAAATACTATCGTACCACAGTCAGCTGCTGCTGCACCACAGCTGCTACTGCTACACCACAGCTGCAGCTGCACCATGGTCAGCTGTTGCTGCACCCAGCTGCTGCTGCACCATGGTCAGCTGCACCACAGCTGCTGTTGTTGCTGCACCACCATCAGCTGTATTACTCGAAGATGTGGAGAGTGTGTGGCTTAACGTGAAACAATTACCGAGAAACAATTAACCCCGGAGGGTTAGCCACCCAGGATAACCCAAGAAAGTCAGTGCATCATCGAGGACTCTAACTTATTTCCATTGGGGTCCTTAATCTCGTCTCCCAGGATGCAACCCACACCAGTCGACTAACACCCAGATGAACAGGGAAAAATGCCTGGAACTAGTGCTCATATTGGTGAATTTAAAGCCAGCAAAGGTTGGTTTGAGAGATTTAAGAATCGTAGTGACATACACAGTGTGATAAGGCCTGTTCTGGAAGAAAATGCCAAACAGGACCTACAGTACTCAGGAGGAAAAGGCACTCCCAGGACACAGTGTCTCATCAGTCATTGCTGCATCTTCAATAAAGGTAAGTGTCATTTATTCTTCATTTAGTAGAGTAGTACATGCACAATATATACTGTGCATGTACTACTCTACTATTGTGCATGTATCCTTCTCTTTGTGTGTAGGAAAATGTATATTTCATGTGGTAAAATTTTTTTTTTTCATACTTTTGGGTGTCTTGCACGGATTAATTTGATTTCCATTATTTCTTATGGGGAAAATTCATTCGCATAACGATAATTTCGCATAACAATGAGCTCTCATGAACGGATTAATATCGTTATGCGGGGGTCCACTGTATTACAGCAGTCATGAATGGGTTGACATTATTTTTACAATTATTACAGTAGTGCAGTAGTCTGCATAACATTAAATCATCTATTTTTTGTTTGAATAAAAATTCAAAATAGAAAGAAAGTGTAATATCAGAGGGGCCTGGAGATGTGACTGATGAACAAAGAAAATGTTATTTTAGAGCCAGGAATGTCTGCATTGTTCATTCTGGACCCTATTTTGAAATTGTCATATTTTTTAATTTTTGTGAAATTGGTTAAATTGCAAATTTCTGACCACGTTATTGGGTAGTTGAAATCGGTAAATGGGCAGTTTCTTGAACTCAATCGATAGAAAAAAACGGAGTTCTAAGGAAATAGCTATGAGTTTGGTCAACTGGAACAATGGAATTAGCTGAAAATAGGGCTCAAAGTGGGCGAAATCACCAATTTGTAAATATCGCCGAGGTCGCTAACTTCGCGAGGGTGTAATTTTATCAGTTTTCCATCAAAATTCAGGAAAAGATTCTCTATTACTTCATAATTTTTTTTTTTTTGTCATTTTGTGACACCAGGAGACACCTCAGGATTGGGGGTTGCGACAGTCAAGGGGTTATAGTTTTACATGCACAAAACAATGAGAACTAAGTAAAATAAATACATGAACAATTAAATCAGTATTACATACCTTCACTGAAGACTCTTACTGGCTTATGGAAGATAGGGAGGAGGAGAGAGGGAGTTGGGGTTATTGTTTGGAAGGGGGATCCCTCTCCAGGCCCCCCTTCAGGTATCAAAGCCCTCTCTGGGGTTACTTCCCTCCCTGCCTCCCTTCCACACTCCATTTCCCTGCTACACTCCCTCCCTCCCTGCCTTCCTCCTACATTCCCTGCTACACCCTGCCTCCCTACTACACTCCCTGCCTGACTGCTACACCCTGCCTCCCTACCACACTCCCTGCCTGCCTGCTACACTCACTCCCTCCCTGCTATGCCCTGCCTCCCTACTACACTCCCTCTTTCCATGCTACACTCCTTGCCTTCCTCCTACACCCTGCCTGCCTGCTACACTCCCTGCCTCCCTGTTACACTCCCTCCCTGCTATGCCCTGCCTCCCTGTTACACTCCCTCCCTCCATGCTCCATTCCCTGCCTTCCTCCTACACTCCCTGCCTGCCTGCTACACTCCCTGCCTGCCTGCCTGCTACACTCCCTGCCTGCCTGCTACACTCCCTGCCTGCTACACTCTCTGCCTGCCTGCCTGCTACACTCCCTGCCTGCCTGCCTGCTACACTCCCTGCCTGCCTGCCTGCTACACTCCCTGCCTGCCTGCCTGCTACACTCCCTGCCTGCCTGCCTGCCTGCTACACTCCCTGCCTCTCTTCCACACTCCCTGTTTCCCTGCCACACTCCACATTAGCTTCCTTGATTTGTTCTTTCTCTGCCAGGATAGAAGTGATTGTTGATTTGTTTTTTTCCATACATCCTGGCAAGCTCAAGCGCTTGAAGGGTACTCTCACATTTTTCAATAATTTCTTTCTTCAATTCCATCCTGTTTCTCATTTTCTTTACCAAAAGACTTTTACTAGGGACTTTCTTTGGGGCCATGGTTACTCATTTAGCAATTGCATTTAATGAATAACTACCAAAAACAATGGAAATGATTGGATGAATAAGCAGAAGCTTCCTCACTTGCCCAGACACACAGTAAGACTGAAGCCAGTGCCTAGCGGCCAGCCGCTGACACATACCATGTGACTGATATGCGGAATAACAGCCGATAACCAGAAGCCAAAAAATCGGCCGATAAGCATAACAGCCAATAAACGAGGGTCCACTGTAATAATAATAATAATAATAATAAAATCACTCTGGAGTGGTTCAAATATCAGCTACCTAACCTGCACAAAATACGTATGACATTTATACAGGCAGAGCGACGTTTAAGCGTCAGCCACTCGGTACACTAGCTGTCAAGGTCTCCAACACTACATATTTGTACAAATTTGCACTTTAATGTGCATACCATAGTACAAGATGTCAGCAAAAAGGAAGATCTTGACTTCACCTGAAGGAAGTGCTAAGAAACAAAGGAAGGCTCTCAATCTTCAGGTGAAAATTAAGATTATAAATGAGTATGAAGCTGGTAAGAAAGTACAAGTGATAGCCAGTGACTTGAAGCTGGCAAGAAAGTACAAGTGATAGCCAGTGACTTGAAGCTGCCGCATTCTACTATTTCCACTATCTTGAAGGATACAGATAGTGAAAGAGGCAGTGAAAGCATCGACAGGATTTCATGCCATAATAACTAAGCAGCGGAAAGACCATTTATGAAATGGAGAAATTACTGGCCATCTGGTTTGACGATCAGATACAAAAACAATGTCAATGAGCCGTTTAGTTATTCAAGCCAAGGCACGCGGTATCTTTGAGACTTTGAAGGCAGGTCAAGGTGAAAAATCAACAGAAACATTTACGGCAAGCCATAGATGAATTAAAAGTTTGAATAAATAACGCAGAAGCATGATAAAGATGCCCAAATTAATAAAAATTGACATATATGGAGAGGTATTGGAGGGTGTGGAGGGCTGGGGCTATACGAGAGACAGGGAGAAGGCCCAGCAGTCTCAGTAACTCATGCTTCACCATGACATATGGACATGTAAGCTGATGGCACTATAAAATATGGTAAAATTATACTATTAGTATCAATAAAGGTTATCTACCTATCATATTCATTCCAGAATATTAGGCATAACGTAAATAGCACAGAAGCACGATAAAGATGCCCAAATTAATAAAAATTTATATTATATAGAGGTATTGAAGAGTGGAGGACCAAGAGGGATAAAAAAAAAAGTGACAACGACCATAATAAAAAAAGAAAAAAAAAAAAAAGTTACGTGCCTGAAGGGTAACTAGAAAATCACTCTTACCTCATGCAAAGGCCGAAAAAAGTGAAATTTTTTCTAAAAAAAAAAAAAATATCTCGAGTAATCAGTTATGTACGTATTTCCTGGAACATCTTGAAAGTAAGTCATTGACCTATTTCATGTTGTATTACCTTACCTTTACCTTTGATATACCTTGGAAGAGTTTTGAGAGTTTATCTACTCTCTGAGCCTGGCCATGGGCCAGGCTCATCTGGTGCCTGCCTGGTCAACAAGGCTGTTGCTGCTGGAGGCCCGCTGCCCCCACATATCCATCACAGTCTGGTTGATCTGGCACCTGGTGAAGATACTTCTCTAGTTTCCTCTTGAAGGCTTCTACACTTGTTCCAGCAGTGTTTCTGATATCTTCTGGTAAGATGTTGAAAAGTACCAGAAGATATCAGAAACACTGCTGGAACAAGTGTAGAAGCCTTCAAGAGGAAATAATAATAAACAGATTGAAAGGAATTTCCCAACAAACATAAAACAATGTTTTAATTTTGGGTGGTGACGCTTTCGAAGTGTCAGTAAGGGGTCATTCCTCAATTAGCGATGAAATAGTTTACCGACGGGGTCTTAGGCCCGTATCTCCGTCGTTAAGTGAGGAGAGGCTGTATTTCAAATTTTTTAATGCCTTGATAGCCAGCAGAGGACATGGCTATAGGAAAAGCACCAATTGTCACATGCTTCACTAAGTTAGTGACTGGTGTCAATTTCCTTCTGCAACCTTTATGAACACAGACTAATATTTAGTTTGTGTTCATAAAGTTCTTAGCCCTGCAACAATATTCATAACAACTTAAAAAGTCAAAAAGACCACACATATATGGAGTGTGCAAACAAATTTAATCAATTAAAGCAACTGCTCACCTCTGCTCTTTCCTCTCAGCAAGACGTTTCTTTCGTTCCACTTCAAGACGAGCATTGAAATCATTAAGCTTCTTCTCAATTTCAGATCGACGCGAGGATTTGAGTTGGTTTAGAAATTCTATGCGGTCAGACTGCATTCTCTTCAGGCGCCTACTGTGTTCTAAACTAACTTGATGTTCCTCAACGAGCTTCTTAACACGTTCTTCCTCCTGAGATTGCCAAAAGTCCTTGTCTCTTTCCTAAAAGGATAAATTTATTTAATGAAGTATCCCATCCTCGGGGATTAATTTTTTTTTTGTTATAATTTCCAGTGTTGCATGTACTATCACCTCTCATCACATTCCAGTGTACTAACACAGAAAAACTTTCCTGTACACTTTTTGTACTTAAGAAGGGTGCTTCTTGTACTCTTTTAATGATGCTAAGAGTAACTTTTACATGGTTATCACTTAGAGCAAGTCACAATACTGTGACTAGAATAATTCACACCCACAATTTGTAAGGTAAACTTTAAACAACAATTTCGTCTGTATGACAATCAAGTTCCTAGTGAGACACAAGGAAAAAGTTAAATGCAGGTTAGGGGAAGATGGTAGAAGGAAGCTGTAAGACAGGTGAAGTTACTTACTATACATTAGCATTGAACATTAGAGCATTTGACAAAGTATTGGGAGAGATATGCATCAACAATCAAAACCAGGCCTACAGTTTATATAATTATGTAAAGGTAGATTTAAGAAAATTGTTTGTGAAGGCAAAAACAGGGATAGTTATGATCTCAAACATGACCAAAAAGAACATCAATAGCAAAAGCAAGATGAATACTTCTGTTGCATTCAGACCTTCACTGCCTTAGTGCATGACTTCTAAATTTGAAACAAACGAAAGGATTTCAATTAAAATGGGTTCATTGGATTTTCCAAGACCAAATCTTTCTGATGCACCTCTGAGCAAAGCAGTTAGCTCTGTTACTGGTTTTCAGCATGTTCAGTCAGTTATGCTGTTCAAGAGCACTTTTACAGAAAAATCTGCAATGGAGACTTCAAGGAACAAACCCCGCTAATACAGTTGTATCCTCATTCTTCTGACAAAGAACCGATTCATATTTGACTCAAATTAGATTTTATCAAATACTTTTTACAGGTACTACTTTGTATCAAATAATCTTATTTAAACAATTAAGAAAATTACCCTTCAAATTGTATGATAATTCTGGCTTTACCTAGGTAGTAGGTTGAGAGAGAGCAACCATCCAGGGAGGTACTACCATCCTGCCAAGAGAATGTGAAATGGAAATCTGTAATTGTTTAACATGATGGCAGGACTGCTGGTCTCTCTTTTCTGTATCAAACTTGCAGGATAAAAGATGTATCATGCTGCTACTTCTTACAATTAGGTCACATTACATATGCATTCGCATGCATATAGTATATTACACATACTCATCTGGGTTCACTACTATTTTCTGAATGGTTCTTGTTCTTTATTTCCTCTTATCTCCATGGGGAAGTGGAAAAACAATTCTCCCACCATAAGCCATGTGTGTCGTAAGAGGCAACTAAAATGCCGGGAGCAAGGGGCTGGTAACCCCTTCTGTATAAATAACTAAATTTAAAAAGAAAGACTTTCATTTTTCTTTTTAGGTCACCCTGCCTTGGTGGAATATGGGATACAGCCAGTTTGTTCAAAGGCCTAAATTTAGAATTCCACTAATTATGATAAAATATACTTTTGTTCAACTATTAACTACAGTAGCACAAGTTAACTCTTTGAGGGTTCGCCCCATTGTTCTATGGCTTTGAAGCCTGGGTCCAAGCAGTAGAACTACTGCTTGATCTCAACTCATTCAGAAAAGCTTTGAGAAGTAAATTTGGGCCTAGATATGAGAGAACACGTGGTAAGTGTGCACGACATCAAACAAATACTGTGCATAATGAGAAAAAAAAGCGACACTTTTGGATTAAAACAGCGACTTTGCGGTGTTTTTTCGTATGTTTTTTTTTACAGTTGTGGTCGCGATTTCTTGGTCTGATTTGATAGAATGGAAGATATATTACAGAAATAGAGATGATTTTGATTGGTTTTAGTACTGAAAATGGCTTGAAACAGCACAAACTAGCAGAAATGTTCAATTTTTGGGGGTGTTCAAAAGAAAACAAATGACATGACACATCTAATACACATCAGCTGGTGGATCTAATATACGTTCACATATATACTGACACAGTTACTTTTTGCTGATGATACTGTGCTTATGGGAGATTCTAAAGAAAAATTGCAAAGGTTAGTGGATGAGTTTGAGAATGTGTGTAAAGGTAGAAAGTTGAAAGTGAACATAGAAAAGAGTAAGGTGATGAGGGTATCAAATGATTTAGATAAAGAAAAATTGGATATCAAATTGGGGAGGAGTAGTATGGAAGAAGTGAATGTTTTCAGATACTTGGGAGTTGACGTGTCGGCGGATGGATTTGTGAAGGATGAGGTTAATCATAGAATTGATGAGGGAAAAAAGGTGAGTGGTGCGTTGAGGTATATGTGGAGTCAAAAAACGTTATCTATGGAGGCAAAGAAGGGAATGTATGAAAGTATAGTAGTACCAACACTCTTATATGGATGTGAAGCTTGGGTGGTAAATGCAGCAGCGAGGAGACGGTTGGAGGCAGTGGAGATGTCCTGTCTAAGGGCAATGTGTGGTGTAAATATTATGCAGAAAATTCGGAGTGTGGAAATTAGGAGAAGGTGTAGAGTTAATAAAAGCATTAGTCAGAGGGCAGAAGAGGGGTTGTTGAGGTGGTTTGGTCATTTAGAGAGAATGGATCAAAGTAGAATGACATGGAAAGCATATAAATCTATAGGGAAGGAAAGAGGGGTAGGGGTCGTCCTCGAAAGGGTTGGAAAGAGGGGGTAAAGGAGGTTTTGTGGGTGAGGGGCTTGGACTTCCTGCAAGCGTGCATGAGCGTGTTAGATAGGAGTGAATGGAGACGAATGATACTTGGGACCTGACGATCTGTTGGAGTGTGAGCAGGGTAATATTTAGTGAAGGGATTCAGGGAAACCGGTTATTTTCATATAGTCGGACTTGAGTCCTGGAAATGGGAAGTACAATGCCTGCACTTTAAAGGAGGGGTTTGGGATATTGGCAGTTTGGAGGGATATGTTGTGTATCTCTATACGTATATGCTTCTAAACTGTTGTATTCTGAGCACCTCTGCAAAAGCAGTGATAATGTGTGAGTGTGGTGAAAGTGTTGAATGATGATGAAAGTATTTTCTTTTTGGGGATTTTCTTTTTTTTTTTTTTTTTTTGGGTCACCCTGCCTCGGTGGGAGACGACCGACTTGTTGGAGAGAAAAAAAAAAAAAATATATATATATATACTGATAATATTTATACAATTATTACAATACTGCATAACAGAAAATCTTCTATTTTTTGGTGCGAATAAAAATTCATTATGCAAATAAAAAATAAAAATGGAATTCATTTGTAAAGCCTGAAAAAGTAACTAATAAACAGAGGAAATGTTAGTTTAGTGCAAGGAATACCTGCATTGTTTATTCTGGACCCTATTTTGAAAATGGAATATTTTAAACTGTGTAAAATTAGCCAAATTACCAATTTCTGATCACTTTCCTGGGTAGCTGAAACAGTTGACTTGAAGATTTCTTGTGCTCAATCAACAAAATAGAAGTAATACTGGCAAAACAGCTAAGAATTTGATTGACTGGAATAATGTAATTGGACTAAAATGGGAGTGAAATTCAGCAAAATTACCGATGCATAAACATCACTGACACATCAAAATTCACGAGAGCGTAATTTCGTCAATTTTACACCAAATTTCATACTTTTTGTTGTATTACCTTCAGAAAACGTTTCTCTACCATTTCATAAGAAAAAAATAACCAAAATTTTTGCATAAACATCACTGACACATCAAAATTCGCGAGAGCGTAATTTCGTCAATTTTCCACCAAATTTCATACTTTTTGTTGTATTACCTTCAGAAAACGTTTCTCTACCATTTCATAAGAAAAAAATAACCAAAATTTTTGCATAAACATCACTGACACATCAAAATTCGCGAGAGCGTAATTTCGTCAATTTTCCACCAAATTTCATACTTTTTGTTGTATTACCTTCAGAAAACGTTTCTCTACCATTTCATAAGAAAAAATAACCAAATTTTTTTTTTGAAAATTCTTGACACTGGCTGCCACTGAGATCTAGCCTCCGGACCTTCGAAGAGTTAATGAAGCAAGTCACATTTTGACTTAAACAGAAACCATACCTTTGATATACCTTTGAAGAGTTTTGAGAGTTTCACTACTCTTGAAGCATGGCCATGGGCCAGGCTCATCTGGTGCTTGCCTGGTCAACCAGGCTGTTGCTGCTGGAGGCCTGCTGCCCCACATATTCATTACAGCCTGGTTGATCTGGCAACTAGTGAAGATACTTGTCCAGTTTCCTCTCGAAGGCTTCTACACTTGTTCCAGCCACATTTCTGATAACTTCTGTTAAGATATTGAATAGTCTGGGACCCTGGATGTTGATACAGTGTTCCCTTATTGTCCCCAAAGCACCCCTGCTCCTCACTGGGTTTATTTTGCACTTCCTCCAATATCTCTCACTCCAGTATGTTGTTATGGCAGTGTGCAGATTTGGGACCAGGCCCTCAAGTACTTTCCAGGTATATATTATCATGTATCTCTGTCTCCTCCATTCCAATGAGTACATGTACAAGACTTGAAGGCATTCCCAGTAATTTAGAGTTACTGGTTCAATGTGAGCTGTAAATGATCTCTGCATTTGTTCCAACTCTGACATTTCTCCTGCTCTGAACGGGGCAGTCAGCAATGTGCAGTATTCTAAATGAGGGAGTACTAGCGATTTGAAATGTTACCATCGGCATTATTTCCTTTGTCTTAAAAGTTCTCAATACCCACCCCATCATTTTCCTGGCTGTCGAGATATTTGTCTCTTTCTTTTTTCTCCTCAACAAGTCGGCCATCTCCCACAAGGCAGGATGACCCAAATAATAAGGAAAATCCCTAAAAAGAAAATACTTTCATCATTCAACACTTTCACCTCACTCACACATAATCACTGTCTCTGCAGAGGTGCCCAGATACAACAGTTTAGAAGCATATACGTATAAATATACACAACATATCCCTCCAAACTGCCAATATCCCAAACCCCTCCTTTAAGGTGCAGGCATTGTATTTCCCATTTCCAGAACTCAAGTCAGATTA